TACTCTCATTTGCATGGGTCCCATCAAAATCAAGGGTTGAATTGTCAACTGCAACTTTTATGCATAGTTGGATGACACTGGACCCCATCCAAAACAATGCATGCCAAACCTGGATCCCACAAATTTTCGGTCACATTGGATCACAGTTGGTCACATTGGGTCACAAGGGTCGATTTTATGGATTCTTTCAAATGAATCATTACGAATGCTTTCACATGTTCCATATTAACTCTTTTGTACCGTATTGAAGAGAAAAAACAGAATTATTCAAATTATGGGTGCAAAAGTAGTGTTCATACATGTGTCCCATAAGTGTTCATAGTGTTTTATGAATGATTTTGACAATATTGGTGCTTTTGTATTACAAACACCTTAACATATTTTGTAAATTTATGATTAACACTATATTTGTGTTCTTTATACCTTGTCACAACACAACCAAGTTTAAAAAGCATGTTTACACCTACATTTACTTTTCTCACTTGGTCACAGGTCACATCCGGTCACAATGGTCCCATAGTACAAAATTGGACAATGGTCACATTGGTCACATGCTGGTCACAATGGGTCACAAACAGTGGTCATATGAGATAACTTATTTATTGTATTTTAAGATGTAGAATGAGACCAAATTAAATAAATTAAAATACAACAAGGAAGCAAAGGACATGGAATACAATACACAATTATTATACAAATGGTCTCTTTATTCATATATGGTCAAGTGTTCTCTCACACATTGCTAATATTGATACTTCTGTTGTGACATGCATCCTTTTTCAGGCTTCACCAGGACCCGGAAAGCGATTTTGTTTGGGTCTCCCACTTTTCCGTTTGTCTTCCACTATAAGAGGCAAAACCACGCGGTTTGCAATATTTGGATCATCGATACTCCATTCACAACAATCGGGGATCGGATACACAGTTGCTTCATAAGCATGACGCCATGACTCGCGCAAATAGTATGGAGAACACAAGTCTGGTATCTTATTTGCTTTCACAACCTTATGAGGTGCTGCGATTGCGTGACTACATGGGATCTTATCAATATCACACTCTGTCACTATAACTTTTCTAAGTCCACTTGAATGTTCACTGACGGAAAGATTTATAATTTCTGTTACATTATTACTCCCAACTTTACTCTTAAAATTTGGGCTCAACAATAAACAATCGTCATAATCTTCCACACCTCGTTTTCCATTTCCTCCAACAACACTACCATCAGCAGGACTTATAGCTTCTGCTTCAACGTTATGTTCACATACGTAACTCATCTATCTCCACATAAAGTATACCTCGCATTCCATTTATTTTATCCAACAGATAAATATGAACGTGCTTGTCATTCCATACGTAAGTCGGTTTTCTATTTTCCTTGACATTTGGCAAATAACTCAATCTAATCTCCGTTTTATTTTTCTCCACTTTCATCTCAGCACATAACTCTCGAACAAATTCACTATAGGTTACCTCACAGGGGGGACAAAAGAATAACAATCTTTGAGTTTCCATAAACTTTCCTTCCCATTGATATTCTCCGTTTTTATTCACTCTCCACCTAACATCATACAGAAAGTATACAATTGTCGATCTCTCATCTTGCCCGTCCATCGTACCTGTAGAAAGGATAAATACAAAATGCAGATCAATTAAACTATTCTGGACTCTATGACTATGTGACCATATGAATATAATACCATGTGACCATGTGAATATAATACCATGTCACCATGTGGCCATTATTACTATTCCAACTATTCTATATCATGTTACCATATGAAATTGTGACCATGTGAATTCCTCATCATGTGACCATTATTACTAATCCCACTGTTATGAATCATGTGACCATGTGACCATGTTAGTATGGTACCATGTGACCATGTCAACATGGTACCATGTGACCATGTGAACATAGTACCATGTGACCATGTTAATATAGTACCATGTGACCATATAAACATAGTACCATGTGACCGTGTGAAGATAGTACCATGTCATCCTTGAATCCTATCCGAACTGTTATTCTAAACACACGGGTCTAATGTAACCATATCACTATGTGACCATGTGACTGTGTGGCCATGTCACAAACTTCTCTCTAATGTGACCCGACTTTTGTGTATAGTGATATTCTAAAAACAACATCTCAAACCCCAGATCCGACCCGGATCTATGACTATACTATAGTCCAAAGGATAAAAACTGCACAAACATCAGCAATTACAAGAAAAAAAAGGTGGAAGCAACATCACTGTTCAACCAAAAAATAACAACAAACATCAATGTGCATGAAAAACAATAAGATTTTCGCAATTGTTTACCTGTCTTCAACCTCTTAACTAATTTCACACTGATTTTGCTGGAATTTTTAACGATTTTGGATTAAAAATCGCAACATTCAAAGGAGAGAGAGCTCAGCGACGAGGGAGAGAGAAGCAGGAGAGAGAAAGCGGAATGAGAGAGGAGAGAGACAACTAAACCCTATTTTTTGGGAAATTTTTTTTATTCAAAAATTAAAAACAAAAGGGTATTTTGGTCATCACATATTATAAAGGGTATATTAGAAGTTGTAATATTTTTTTTTAAGGAAAGGGTATGAAAGGATGTTAATGTAGTAGATTGAGGGTATAACGGAAGTTGCCCCACTTAGAGATAACTGACATATTAATATCGAACTTTTCAAATTTCTAAATTAAATATGAACCCATCGATTTTGACACAAAAAATATTGAATTTGTAAATTTTTGACAAAAACCCCATCGACGTTAAATCGACTAGCGATTGATCTGACATGGCGGCTGACTCAATCTCTCATCATCCGCATCGTCGGAAAAAATATTAATTTAAAAATAAAAAATATACATATAAATAAAAATAAAAATAAAAATAAAAATAAAAATAAAAATAAAAATAAAATAAAATTTAAATTTAAATTTAAAAATAAAATTAAAAAATTAAAATTAAAAATTAGGGTTTTGGGTACTTTTGAAATAAAAAATAAAATAAACAAAATATAAATAGAAATAAAAATAAAAATAAAATAAAATAAAATAAAATAAAAACAAAAATAAAACAAAATAAAAATAAAATAAAAATAAAAACTAAAAAATTTAAATTTAAATTTAAAATTGAAATTGAAATTTAAATTTAAATAAAAAAATAAAAGTAAAAATAAAAATAAAAAGAAAAAATATAAAATATACAATATATATACAATATATATACACAAATATATACATATACATAAAATATTAAATATTATATATATATATATATATATATATGTATACATATATATTTATTTAATAGTTACTATTTAATGTATATAAATATATATGTGAATTTTGAAATGTTTATTATATTTTTAATTATTTGTAATGTAATTACAATGATTTTAATATATATATATAGTTGTGTATATATTGCATATATATTGTATATTTTTTCTTTTTTTCTTTTTTATTTTTTATTTTTTATTTTTTATTTTTTATTTTTTATTTTTTATTTTTTATTTTTTATTTTTTACTTAAATTTTTTACTTAAATTTTTTACTTAAATTTTTTACTTAAATTTTTTACTTAAATTTTTTACTTTTACTCTTTTTATTTTTTATTATTTTTTATTTTATTTTTATTTTTTAATTATAATTAGAATTATTTTTTATTTTTTTTAAAATTCTTATCTGACGGGGCGGATGATGAGATCGAGTCATACGATATGTCAGATCATTCGGGTTTAAGGTTTAGGGTTTAAAGTTTAGAGTTTAGTGTTTAAGTTCACTATTTTTTATTTCAAAATCGACGAATTTATATTTAATTTAAAAATTTGAAAAGTTCGATATTAATATGTTAGTTATCTCTAAATTCGATAATTTTTTTGAGATTTTTCCTTGAAACAATCATATTCAAGAAATGATATTTTCATATTATGCCCCATGAATATTTTACTTGGAAGTCTTCATTTGAAAGCACTTTTCATAAATAAATAAAACGAAGAAAATAATAATAAGGTGAAAATAATTAAATAAATAAATACTAGCATAAAAAAAAACAATAACACATGCACTGAGAGTTACGGGTAGGTATGGGTCGGTACCCGAAAATTTGAGGGTATCCGAACCCGAATCCGAATATCTCGGGTTAATTGTTTTATTATCCGATCTTGTATCCATGAAGTCGGATATCCGAATCCAAATTAAGTCGGATACCCAAATCCAAAAATCCGTAAGATAATTATCGGGTATCCGAAAGTACTCAAATTCGAATTTTTTTAATTATTTTCAATCATTTTTTTAAAATATATTTATATATATACTCAAAATCATTCAAAATAAATTTAAATTATATTTATATCTAAAATAAATTTATTTTAAAAAAATACATCATAAATATATTCAATAAAATATCTATACAATCAATAATATTAAATAAAATAACATAAAATCTAATAAAAAATTAAAATTTTAAAATATTTTTTTTATTATCTGGATACCCGGATACCCGTGATACTTGAGGATACCCATGAGATAATAACCATTACCCGAATTCGAACCTAAAAATTCGGATATTCTAATATTAATATCCGATCTCATGTCTCGTTCGTTCGGATAACCGAATTTTCGGATATCTGAACCTCGGTTCAGATCGGATACTCGAAATCCGGGTATTTTTGCCCACGGCTCCTGAGAGTAAGAGACAGTAAGAGACAAGAGGGAGAGAGGGAGAGAACGAGCTCCTTCTTTTACTCTCTCTGCAACTCTTCTCTCTCTCTTTTTTCTCTTTCGTTTGTTTCTTTATAATTTCGAATTATTCTCTTATTGCTGCCTCTCCTTTTCTCTTTATCTGAAAATTTCATCTTCTTCTTCGTTTGGGGATAGAGAAAGGAGTGGTAAATTTCTTCAAAAGTGTCTGACTCAGGTGATTGATTCCTAGTTAATGCTCAGTGATGCGCTTGTTGGTGTAATGGCGAAATCCCTCAAATTTCGTAAGTTTCTCAGAAAATCCGCTTCTTGTTTCGTGTTTGGGTTTGGATTCGCGAGCTTGAATTTGGGGTATCAAATCTATATCCGGTTTGGTTTCGGTGTGCATTGTCGAGTTCATGTTAAGATTGCGAGTCGGTTTCTAGGAATTTGTGGATTACGTCGTTTTCTCGGTAACCAAACACTAGAATGACCAAATCCGTGGTCAGCATTTTCCGAGAAATTGAGGCCGATTCTTGAGCTGAGTGAGAGAGTAGCCAATTTGTTTATGATTTCTTCTCTCTGATGCCATTTCGGGCAGATCTGGAACAGCCAACGTTCTCGCTTGAACTAGCTTCAAGATGTTAAAATCTCTGGGTCTCGGAAAATTAAGCCTACTTGGAAAATGGAGTATTTGCAATTTTCGTTTTGATTTGCATCGAATCGTTTCATTTTCCCCAACTTTCACTGGTCTAACTGCCTCAAGGAGGATTGACCATTTCAGTAAAACACTCTGCAATTCTATAATTTTTGCCAGTGCTGTTTGCTGCTGTTTTGAGCCAGAATCTCAAGGCACTTGAATTGAATCTACATACAATGGTTCTGGTCTCGCTTGAGATAAACCTCGTCGGTCGGTTTCATTTGGATTCATTTCGTATGGCTCAAAGAAGCATTACTGTGGGATAAAAGGGTTTAGGATAAAATTGATGGGCTCATGAAGTTTTGGCTTTGTGGGGACTGACATCTGAATTGGATGCATTGGGTTTGTCGCCCTCCTTTAGTTGGAATGAGTTGTCGATGCTTTGACTTGTCTCCTAACCCTACTGATCTATCTCTGTATTATCTTCTCAGCTCGCCCATTATTTAATATAGCATCACATCTTATGTTCTTGGTCACTCCTGACATGTTGGCAAGTCCTTGGGAATTCGACCTGATGTTTTTTTTTTTTGGTTTAATAATTCGACCTGATGTTATAATTGAAATGTTTTTCCATATTGAAAGACATTTATGATTCTTCTCAATGTTTGAAACTTTTTCTTTTGGTTATGCTGGGGATTTGGCAAATGAACTTACTCCAATGTATCGGAAGTTAGAGTTCCATAAGTCGGTAATTAGGCAACATTCTAGGTTATCGAATCCTTGGGAGGTTTTAGTTTTACACAACCAATAGAATGAGTGAGAGTCATGTTGTTTAGGTTGAGATGCATTGGCTATTTTCTTTATGCCCTCTCTTTTTTATATGCCCCCTTGTGTTAACTGATTAGGCTTCAAAAGATATTGTTGCTAATTTTTAAATGAGCCGTTGTATGTAAGCTAGATTAGAAATGAGCATTTCATTTCAGTATTTCTTGGTCTGCTTCCTTGTGCACCCTTAGGGTCTGAAGATGGTTGGTGTTTACATACAGAATAACCCCTAACGAGGCATCCGAATTCAGACGGTAGGTAAATATTTCAACAATGTTCTCTACATGGACAGGTAGGTAAAAACTCTTTATCGAATTCAGACGGTGTTGGTAGAAGAGATGAAACTCGGGTCAAAAAAACGTTGGAAATCACTTGCCCCTCTTCATCTGAAAGGCAAATCTGTGGCACGTTTTTGCTTGTTTTCCAAAGTGAAGTCAGATAACTATGGTCCAGGGCGTGCACCAGTGTATCTCAATGTTTATGACTTGACTCCTATTAACGGCTACATCTATTGGGCGGGCCTCGGCATATTTCATTCAGGTGTTGAGGGTACGTTGTATGACAATTTCATTTTCTCATTGCAAAACATTGATGTTTTTCTAGTCTCGCATTTAAACTTTCTTGGTGGTAGTCATATGGGTAACCCACTCTTCTCTTTTGGCGTTTGGTACGCAGTTCATGGTGTAGAATATGCATTCGGAGCTCATGATTATCCAGCTAGTGGTGTTTTTGAGGTTGAACCACGGCAATGCCCCGGCTTCAAATTCAAGAAACCTATATTTATCGGAACTACGAGTTTAAACCCTGCAGAGGTGTGGGAGTTTATGGAGGACATTGCTTGCAGTTACTACGGCAATTCGTATCACTTGATCGTCAAGAATTGCAACCATTTTTGCCAAGACGTTTGCTACAAGCTTACCGGTAAAAGGATCCCAAAATGGGTAAATCGGCTCGCAGAATTAGGTACCTCTTCGACCTTGCAAACCTATGTAATTCGTCAAGACCTTTCAGTGTGAAACTCAAAATATCGCATGCGTGGTTTTGTATGTCGAATTTTTTCATGATTCATGTCTCTTGAGTCAGATTTTCGATAATTTTCCTCTTATGGATTGGAATATAAGTTCATCATGTTAGGAATTCACTCGGAAAACACAATACGATCCAGGAAGTTAGTTAGACTGTTCTCTCATAAACTCACTTGTTGTCATCTAGGTTCATTGTGCCGTTGCGTACTTCCCGAGTCTCTCAAGATCACAGCGGTTTGCCACGACCCAGAAGGCGAAAATCCCGAGGAAGAGAACGAAAAGCGGAGTCTTAGAGGCTCGTTCAGTTGTCTGTCCTCGATCTCAATGCGACAGAAACAGCTCTCAACCTCGTCATTGTTCCTGCAATCACCCCTCAGAGGATGCCTTCCACCATGGCAACTAAAACGATCAAAATCTAACAGCAGTTCCTTGAAAGAACGGTAGCGAAAATCTCGTATCCACATCCTCACGCTTAATTTCTCGTTCGTTTTTTCGTAGGGCCCTGCTAACGAGACTCTTCTCCGTCAATTTCTCAGGGGGGTTTTTCCGGCATTCTCGTCGGTTGTTCACTGTTTGTGTGGTGTTGTATGATTGATCAATGTGTTAACTCTTCTCGGCAATGTCATTCTCGAATATGGTTATCATTTACAAGCTGGGAAAATGGCATATTTCCATATGAATTTGTGTTAATATTCCATATTATTATACCAATTTTTAATTTGATAAAAATTCATATAGAAATTGAAAATTTCTAAATTCCTAAACAGTGTGAAAATATGTTAGAATTTGGCACATGAAGTACAAGTATAAAGATGCAAAAACGTGTTCAATCCCAAGTTTTTGAAAACTTTATAAAAGTATCGTAATGAATCTCGTTATACGGTAAATATGAGGTGACTGATGACTTGCTAAAAACAATGGATTTGTAATATACTTTTTTCATAATTTGGTGTATGATTATGGAAAATTTTGAATTTTCTGTATAATTTAGTCAAATTAAAAATTGGTATAAGAATTTGAAATATTAGTACAAATTCGTGTTATTTTCTCTTTACAATCTAAATATCTATTTCTCTGATATGGTTACCGTTCACAGTCAAAATGCTGAATCGATCAAAACCGTTTGTAACGACTCTACGAGAGTAAAATCCTTTTTGAAATTTTGGCCTTAAATGGTGGAAGTTTTTAGATTTTTTAGAATCCAAAAACCAAATCCAAAAACCAAAAAAAACAACATTCAAGTTTTTACAAAATTACTTTTTCTAAAAACTTGGAAAGTCATTTTAGTGAAAAAATTAATGAAAAACCAAAAGCTACTTTTTTTTAGTTTTCAAATATTATAAAATCCAAAAGCCAAAAACCAAAAACTAAAGCCAAAAACCCAAAATAAAAGATATTACCATTCAAAGCCTTTATTTCAAAAATTGGGTTATAACTACTTTCTTTTCTTTTTTCCTTTTAATTACCCGTGTTAAATAATATTTCTCCTAAATTGATAGTAAAACCCTTTTGGGGTGCAAGTGTTATAATTCTGGATTTTGGGACATAATTAGTGAAACTTCATTAATTTTAATCGGTAAAATCATCAAAAAATCTTATACTCTGTAATTTTTATATTATAAAAAAACCTATATTTATAATTATTCGTAATATGTATATTCTTCAACAAAAAAATCCTATACTTTTTAATTACCAAACAAACCTTATATTTATATTTATTCGCCGAAATATATATGTACTTTATAAATTCTAACAAATAAACCCCTAAACGCAAATACCAAAATAATACGGTCAAAAATTTGTCCGAATCTAACTCAACCGATAAATATCCGAATTGAATCGAACTGATTAAAATAATACATCAGATTTGATATGAATATTAAATCCGTAATCGAATATAACCGTTATCTATCTATATATCATCCATTAATATTCAATATATTATAAATTAATTAGGAAATTAATATAATGATATTATTTTATAAGTATAGTATATAATAAAATGAAGTATGTATTATTTTAGTTTATTTATATCGGTTGGATTCGGTTCGGTTATTTTGGATTTGAAATATTCATATCCAATATAATATATTATTTTAATCGGTTCGATTCGATTCGGGTATATATCGATTAGGTTAAATTCGGACAGATTTTTTATCGCATTTTTTTCAAGTTTGTGTTTAGGAACTTATTTGTTAGAATTTATAAAGTATAAGTATATTTCGGTGAATAAGAAGTTTGTTTGGTAATAAAAAAAGTATAGAATTTTTTTGTTTGGCAACGGAAGAATATATATATTTCAACGAATAATTATAAATATAGGGTTTTTTATAATAAAAAAGTACAAAATTTTTTGTGACATCTAAAAGAGTATATATTTTTTTTACGATTTTTCCATTTTAATTTCACAAGTTATCGCAGCCGCCGTCTAAACTTTAATTTCACATTTCTGTTCACAAACAAATTTGAAAAGCTCAACAATACCGTAGTGATGGCTATTCTAAAGTTTATCTAAGGAAATACAAAAGTTTAAACATTAGAAAATCGGATATAAATGTTTACACTTTTACAAAAAAAATTTAAATAAATAACTGAACTGTCAAATTTTTCTATAAATACCTAAATTTTTCTAAAATTCTATATAAATATCTAGAATTCTGAAAAATTTTCCAAATAAATCCAAAACATGTTTATGATGTTAACTACTTTTAATTTGAAAATACCTGAACTTTGAGTTCATTTGATTTTTTTTAATCTAGATATTTATATAAATGTTTTTAAAAAAATTTAAATATTTATATAGAAATTTAATAGTTTAAATATTTATTTAAAATTTTTACAAAAATTTAGGAATTTATATGATATTTTCCCGAGAGAAAATAATATTTTCCGCCAGGCATTTGTTTGGATTATGAAGAAACTCTATACCGAGAAGACATTGACATAATTCAGGGTTTGATAAAAAAGAAAAAAAAAGCCCTTTGCGGTAATAACTTAAAACATCTAAATGAACAAACTTAAAATATAGAGCTTTTTATTTTAAATGTAATAGTTAAAGTTTTTGTGTATATATAATAATTTATAATTTTTTATTCAATTTAAAGCGAAGGGAAGAATTAAAAAAGAACAGATAATTGCCCATAGATCCTATTTCTATCTATAAAAAAAATCATGTCAACTTAACTATAATAATTTAAACTATTTAATAATTTTTAATCATCTATAATCCCTTCCAAATGAAATATTATATGAATAGAATCTCTTATATATAAAAGTAGAGTTATCTTTGAGAAAGTGACACGTGTAATGAGTTCTCTATTTAATTCAGTCAAAGTATAATAAATCAATTAGAAATATTATTTGAATCTGTATGTAATAACATATTCAATTGCTCCAATTTGATACATGCAATTTAAATTTATTAAAAAAATACCTTTTACACCTCATTAAGTTAACCAAAAACTGTATATATATTCTACAATATTTGCCTCTTTTTTATAGTTCTACATCTTTTTTATAGTTCTACATCTGTTGTTCAACCGAAGCAATTCCAACTTCAGGTTTGTTGTCTGTCTATTTTTGCCTTTTAAAACTAAATCTTATATATACATACATACACATATCTTATACGCGCATTATATTTCTAAGTTTATTTTTAAGTTTTTGTTTACCGTAACTTTTTATGTTAGGTTTGTTCTCTTTCTATTGTGTTTTCCTGTTGTATAATATTGCTAAATCTCCATCTTTATATATACATGCACACACATATCTTATACATGCGTATATGTTTTCTTAGTTTTTTTTTTTGTTTAGCATAGTTTTTTATCTGGGTTATTTATATATTTTCTTCAACACTAAATTACTAAATATCCATTTCTATCTCTATATATGCATGTATAAACATATCTTCTACTCAGATTTATGTTATCTAAGATTTAGATGTTTTCTGGTTTTATTATTTATAACAATAAATCAACCAACCAATATATCAATTTGTTAGTGTTAGCAAATTTTCATATGCTAATTCATCATCTCTATATACGCGTGTATACATATATTTTATATGCACGTCTACGTTTTCTTAGATTTTTTTAATTTTAGTTTAACATAGCTTCTTAGATATATGATTATTAAAATTTTGCTGGTTTTACTTTTGATCAATAAATCAATTAGCCAAACATATCAAATTCTTCGTATTAGACTGTTAGCAATTTGTTGAATATTAATAAATATAACTTTCCTCCGCTGTTCATCAGAGTTTTTTTGCGAATACCAAAACAGTTGCAACTATATGAATGTTGTTGACCATTTTGATAAAAAAGAAAAAGTGGATGTAAAACTTCGGCATAAGGTATATTACTTTTTTTAAAACAAAAATTCATATATTTAGATGTCTCTCTCTTAATATTATTATGATTTATCCATTATTATTTAACATCTTTTTTTCTGATTTTGATAAAACATTATACAATAGACAATGAAAATATTGAATATATTCATATCTACATATTTTTTTTAATGATTGGCTATATTAAATTTTTTTATGATAAATATGAATAGAAATCAATCAAGTTCAATAATGTTATAACACTTATTAAAAATAATAAAGTTATTACAGTTGTGTCTTGGAAAAAAAAAGAGGATCTATTATTATTCACTTTAATGAAATTATTTCATAACAATGATTATCAATTATAGTAGAAATTTCGCATTTATGTTATGTTTTAGTTTAATTATTTTGAAGTTTATTTTCTATGATTTATAAATCTATATTTTGGTTTCCTTCCTATTTCATTTTAGTAAATTTTATTAAAAAATATTTATGATTTAAATTTGTATATGTGTTTGATATCAAAGATCTATTCATATTCGTTCAGGTTTGTAATCCATTTGTTTTTTTTTCCTTTTGATCTCGCCTTTTTTTTTAGTATTTTTGTTGTATCAATTGCTTTTGGAATCTATCAATATTATATTTTTTTCTTCACATAATATGATACCAAAACACACATTTAAATTTTTTAATTTATATCATATGTATATATTATATATGTTTATATATCGAAGTAAAAAAAAATTGTTTGTTAATTTCTATTTAATATGTTTATTTTTATATATGATTAATTTTAATTTTAAATTTGATTTTAATAGCAATGAATTGCAATTTATATAGTTACTATTTTCCATATCTATATATATAAAAGTTTTATTTGGATTAATTTGGTGCACCCATCTAAACATATCTTATGTAGTATTTTGTTTAATTTTGTTTAATTTTATTTAATTTTTATTAATTTATATAAAACAGAATATTTATATACTAATTATATTCTTTATATTTTTAAAAAAGATCATCCCAATGTGGAAGTACATATATTATTGTATTTAATGTTTGATTTATACATATGAAAGTAATGAATAAATATACTACATATATTACAAAAAATATCATTATTGATCAAATTAAATTCGTTGTAGGAATCAAAAAATCAGATGCGCTCAATGATATCAACACATGTAACATTGGATCAGATGAGTACACATCATAATTGTCAGAGTATTATGGTCAGATTTCTAAGGATATGGGATGAACGAAATCCTTTCAATGGAAATGAGTTCATTGGCATCAGATTCTTATTAATCGATGAAAGTGAAAGTTCTGGTTGACATTTATTTTATTATGTTATGATTATCAAAGAACTAATTTTTTCGACTTACATCGTTGCAGGAGAATGTTATTGAAGGAAAAATATTTGAGAACCATGTAGAAAATTTTAAAAATATAATAAATTAGGGAGATATATTTTTAGTCAGACATTTTAAGATTCTACCAAATAAAAATATATACAAATTAAGAATCATAAATTTCGTATTTATTTTACGGAATATACTACTGTTGAAAAGATTGTTGTAACTACTTATAGTATTGACAAAGAAAAATTTCGAATACATTTATACGACGATTTATTGGCATTGGCAGATAAAAAACAAGTTCTATCAGGTATGTGATATTATAAGAAAACCAAAAAAATAATAGGTTTTTTTAATTAATATATATTCTCTAATGTTACAGATATTATTGGAGTTTTACTCGCAATACAAGGATCAAATTTACGAATATCGTCATCAACTCAGAAAATTATTCTTCGTTTATTATTAGAAGAGTAAGTTTTCAAATTTTATTTACACTGCAAGTAATGTCATTTTAAAATTTTTTAAACTTAGATTTGTACAGACTAACATGTAATTTCAATATAAAAACCAGCAACAATATTGTCAAGCTTTCTCTATGGGATGATCTCACTGCAGAACTCCGTTCACAAATACATAGATTAAATATCAGAAAAAGTATCATAGTCATTACGAGTATAAATCCAAAGATTATCGACGATAATTATTTAGCACAAATTAATTTCTAAATATTTTTGATAGATTAATATTTAAATATCATTATCATTGTTATATTGTGTTTACTAATATATTTTATGCATCAGGTGTTCTATCGCTCAATACATCAACGTCTACAAAGATTTACATAGATGCAAAACTCAACATTATCAAAAAATTTCGTGTAAGGTAAATAAATTATATCATTCTTGAAAAAATCTATACTGATAATATTTACCAAAATAATTTTTATTATTACCTTACAACTGAATTTTTGGCAGACATTGAAGAAAAATCCACACTGGTACTGAAGACAACCATAACAAATCGGCTATATTGAATCACTAAAATATCTATACAACGATGTCTATATTCTAGCATTGATTTAATTCTTTTTGCAAAATATATGATGATATATTTTTATATTATTATAGTTTTCTATTTATATTTAGTTCAACTCAAACAACTTATCTATCTTACTTTTTGCTATATTTATATTAACAAATTTAATACAAATATAAAATATTTCTTATCATACATGCACAACTCAAAATTATCAGAAAATATTTATCAGATATACACAATATAACCTTAAAAAAAATTGATATTAATCTAAATATTAGATTTCTATAACATAACCAAAATTATGTTATTATTTATAACAATAGTTCTTTATTTTCAGTAACCATATTTTTTAAAAAACCCTAAATTTATCAAAAATATAACTCTTTCGTCATAGAAAATTTTAAAAAAAATATTATTCAAGTATTACACATTCCAACCATGTAATATCTTATTATCTCCGCAGTTTCTGTTAAAAAATGCAATATCCCATTATCTTCATAATTAAAAAATTTTCATTTAAAAATATAATCCTGAAATAAAAATAAAAATATATTTTATATATTTTTTAAAAACATATAAGTTGCTAAGAGCTTAAAAATAACATATGTGGGAATAAACTGATATAACATAAGATTGAAATGTCATGAATAAATTCTTTCACAATTCTATCGATAACAATCGAATTTATAAAAAAAATATTTATCTATGGAACAACAATAAATAGTACACAAAAGGTATACAGTTAGAATTATTATAAAAATTATTATTATTATTATTATTATTATTATTATTATTATTATTATTTGTAGTAGTAAAGTTTGGCATAAATATTTATTTTTGTTATTATTTTATGTTCTACAAATTATTATTCAAAATTTTGAATATTTATCAGACACTTATCGAACAGGGTTATAAAGTATATATTTCGAATGAAAAGTCATCCTAGATGAATCCTATTAGAACCTGACAGTTTGTATGGGTCTTATAAATGATGTTTTATTTGAAACGTAAACTCTCATCATTGATGGTTTATAAGACAATAATAGATATTTCACATATTAGAAAATAATTCAACTTATTCATTACATAATTGAAGATTTTTTAGAATGGATCATGGATGATAAAATAAATCAAATTAAGATGATAAAAATAATAAAAAAACAAATTTAATAAAACATAGGTGAAACTAAATTAAAGATTCAACTGAACAAGAATTCAACTCATATTTATTTAAATTTAAAATCGATTAGTTTTTATATGGGTTGTTGAATCGATATTATTATGATAAAATATATATATCTAATATAATCTTAAGTTTATATTTTTAAAGAACAAAATTGGCAAATATTAGTTTGCAAAAATAATATAATGACTTAGACTTTAATAGAATAAAAAAAATCACACGATTAGTTTTATATTTTATTAATTTGGTTTAATTAGATAAATATCTGTAAAATTTAAAAAATGGTTATAAAATATAGGTTATGACATTAAACCAATATTTTACAGTGAAAAATTTATTAATCTAAATATATTATTATTGAATTTAACACATAACCAAATTTCTGTTATTATTTATCACAGTATTTATTAATTTTTATCAACCATCTTTTTAAAATTCTTCTACGTTTGGCAAAAAAAATCTTATCGTAAAATTAATAAAAATATTAATCCGATATTTTACAATTCCAAACATGCAATATTCTATTATCTTCACAAATTCTTTTAAAAAAATATATTATCCGTCTACATTCAAACTTTAAAAAATCACTTAAAATATAAACTAGAAAATCAAAAACAAAATATATTTTAATTAAATTTAAAAATAATAAGATTATTTGAAAAAGTTATACGTATTTTTAGTCCATGTGCGCGGATTAATATCTAGAATATATATATAAAAACAATTCTACATTCCAATCATGAGTTCTATAATATCAATCATAAAATATAAATACGTAAATTATTCATAACGCTCGAAACAAATACGTCATCCCGCTATCCAATTTTCACAAAAAATAATTTTGATTTACTAATATAAATTATAGTTTTTAATCCGTACGATATACTCCTTTCTTATATATGAAGTTCGTTTCGTCGGAAAATATACATATTTATTTTCTTAAAATAAATTATTTGCTATTCCAATAGATAAAGTCATAATTAAGAGAAATTAATACAAAAAGAGTTATTTCTTACCAATCATTAGTACTTGATATCTAGATAGGTGTGTTGTAGATTCGTAATCACTATAAAAGAAAAGATATGTTATAAAATTATTTTAAATCTATATTTATTTTTAATTTATGTGATATATACGGGTGAATATATTTGTTATATAAACACAAAAGTTGTGTCAAATCTCTTTTGAAAAAATGTTTCATCCTGTTATCTTAACACTTTTAAAAAAACATCACTTTGATTTAACAATATGAAAATTTTTTATTCTCATTTTTAAACGTTAAAAAAAATTAATAGTTCAGTTTTTTTTTTTTGAAAATTTTCATTCTAAAAATATTACTCCAACCCTTAATTTCTTTTGGGTACTCGAGACCGAGGTCCAGACTAATCACGGGACCGGAAGCAAGCCATATATCATTACAATATGTGCTCCTCTCCTCAACTTAAGACTCGAATTCGGAACGAAATAAACATTTTGCATCCCATTTCACCGATTGAGCTACCTAAGTTACAAATAAAAACACAAATATAGAAGTTATTCACGATTATTTTTTGAAAATAAAGAATAACATTATCTCAATATTTTTAAAAACTATTTATCATTTTGATTTAAGATATAAATTATAAATTGAAATATGAAATATAATATATTTAATTTTAAAAATAATAAATTTTTTATAAAAAAAATTATACATATTCATAGTCAGCGCGATACGCGCAGGGTTAAAACCTAGTATATCTTGAAAATTCAGCCTTTTCTTATTTACAATGTGACAAAAATCAACCACATTATTTAAGATGTCTTGAAAATTGAAAATTTTCCTAACTGTGATTGAACCAATCAATTATTGTCAACACCACCATCAAGAACCAGACTGCAACATTTTAGATTCACAATATCAGCTCTCGTAGTTCCCTTTTCAATTATTATTATTAAACCGTATGAAATTATTAATCTTCTAGCTTTTTCGATAATCTGTGTTTTTCCAGTGAATTTTCCGGCAGAAATCAATCATGTACCTTGTTAATCTGCAACGCCAGCTCTGATCCATCTTCAACAAGAGACCCAATTCTTATGCGTGCTGATAATGGCGGATAGCATACCCGCAGATGAAATCACCATTGGAGCCGATAACCTTCCTTTACCATCACGAATATCTGCTATCGCCATTAACGCATCTGCCAGATCTTGCAGAATCGATAAAGCCTTCATCGTCTTCTTCTCCCTCACCTTCTTCATCTTCTCCTCTTCTGCCCTAC